GGGGTTGTGACACGGTTTGTTTTTGTGGCTCCCGTATCTCGTGACATAGTATTTTCTCCCAATTCAGGTTTTTTTTTAGGGAGTGCCCTTATACAGGCATGCAGGGGTCATGAAGGCTGTATGGTTATCATAATAGTATGATAGGGTTGGAGGCCTAGACTAATAGTATGGCCAGCATTTGCATCCCTGAAACCTTTAACTGTAATCCCTGAATGCTAAGCTCTAGAATTGTGTAATTAATTATGTATATACATAGCGACCCTTAAGGCCCAGTCCAACAGCAGTTTTACAAACATGCCTGAACCCGTCTAAGCCCTGCCCACCCCTGAGCTCCCCATTGCCTTCTTTTTCACTGGCCCCCCGTGGCTGCGCGCTCCAGCTGGGATTCTCCTCAGCAGCTCACCCCGGGAAATCCTCAGGGTTTTCAAGCATGCCTGGGCAAGAAAATCCCTTGTGACTGTGATTTGCTTAGGGTACTGCGCTTGATGTATAAATGCTCTACAAGTATAATAAGGGCAAGCCCAGGCATGCAACTTCTGTTTTCATCAGGGCAGTCCTCTGAAGCATCAGGTCTGCTTCTGGTACGCCTTGGCGTGCTCAATCTGAGTGGATACGCGTGACACATTGTCAGCGAGGTCGTTGACCATGCCGTCCACCTCAGAAGCACCCTGCTCAAAGTTGCCGTGGCCATCGTCAATCATGGACAGCAGGGAGGTCTCCACCTTGATTGCTTGCGCAATGCTTTGCTCGGCCGCGTGGGTGACATAGGCAGGGATCATCTCGGCAAGCTGCTTGGCCTGGGCAACGAGGTCCAAGAGTGTCAACCTCTTCTCTTTCAGCTGCTCGCCTTTCTTGCCCAGTTTCTTCAGCTGTCCCGCCTTCAGCTTGGGCTCCGAGGGTTGCGCCTTCTTGGCCTTCTTTTTTGCCTGGCCTTGGGCAGGTGCAGCGGTTCCTCCCCTGGAGCCGGATGGGCATCCCTCATCCACATCCCCCTGCACAGGGGTCTTTGCTTTCCGTCTAATGCTCGTGCCCCTTTCCTCTTCATCTCTGGTCTTGCGTACGTACTTGCAGTCCTCGTAAAGCCACACACCACGTACGTGGTCAAAGAACTTGTGCGTCTTCTCCACCATGTTGGCGAGTTGGGTGGGTTTGCCCTCGTAGCGCTTCTGCAAGTCTTCAAGGTCGTAGTACTCTCCAGTCCCTTCGAAGGACATGTAGGTCTTGCAGCTTCTGTAATCCTCGATCGTGCTCTGCAATTGAACTTTCAGAGCATCTCCTCGAAGATTCGCGTGGTCGCGGAAGAAGGACTCTTGGGTTCCCACGTCCAGGTCGTTGAACTCTTGCACAAGACTTCCGTGTTTCTTCTGAAGCCTTGCAATCGCTGCTCTGGAGCTGTGACAGCTTTTGCATCGATTGCTTTGCTTACGCTTCTCGCTTGCACGGACAGTGACGATGGAGTTCTCAGCGTCCGTCGGGCGCCGGCATGTGCCGCAGAGGAGCGTCCCCTCGTCCTCTGTGGCATCCACCAGCTCTGACGGCACCATGGTCTCCTGCACAGACTCGGGGGCGGCTGCCGGCCCCGAAGACGCCTCAGCAGGCTGCGGTTCCTCCGCTTGCGTCTCCTGCAGCGCCGGAACAACGGGCATGGGGGCTTCTGCCATGCTTGCGAGTCCACAGACAGAAGTTGCAGCAAGGCACGCCTTTGCCGGGAGGAATGCCTTCCCTCACAACCTTTATGAGATGAGAAAAGCAGCAGCAAAGAAGACCTGAGTTATACAAACACAGCTGGGTGAATGATTCCGTGTCGTTTCCTTGCAGCGGAGTTCAGGCGCAAGCGGAAAGCAATACGTTTATTTTTATTCTCACGCATAGAAGACGGAGAGCGCTCCTGCTGGTTCCGGGCAATCCTCAGACCAGCGGACGGATAATTTCAATGTCGCCGTTGGGGAGGCATCTGTAAAGCACATTGACCTCGCGGCGCGCATTTGATAGGAAATCCTAAATCCTAAACCTTGATATAGGGATAGCCGTTATAACTTAGAAACAGAAACACGCGCTGAAACAGCAAAGAGGCGAAGTCGTCGGACCATGCT